GGGCCCAGGTTGTTTTCTCCTCAATCCCCCCAGTTAGGGTGAAGGATGAGAAGAGGAGTAGATGGATTCACCAAGTAAACAACTGCCTGTGCTGCTGGTACTGGCAACAGGGCTTTGGTTTCTATGACCATGGGACCCCATTTGAAGATTGGCAACTGACTGGGAGAGGTGGGATCCACCTCACTAAGTGGTGAACGTCTGTCTCCGCCAACAGGCTGGTCAACCTGGTAAGGAGGGCTTTAAACTAGGAAAGATGGGGGAAGGGGAGAGTTATAGAGACCACCCAGACAGCAAAACGCAGCTCAAGTGGGGATACCTCCAGCAAGTGCATGCAGCCAAGGAAGTTAGCTTGAGCAGGGGGGGGCTGGACTAGATGATCTCCAGAGGTCCCTTCCAACCTCAACCATTCTATGATTCTGTGAAATGATATGAACATTTTATACTGTAAACTGTGGCAAAGGAATGTTAGACTTCTTTAGCATCACATGATATGCTTGTATAAGAGCCAGAAATTGTTTGCTTTCTGTGTCCCAGTCCACTGTTTTCTACTCCATCATCATTCCATCTCACCACTAATAAAGGAACTATTAACCCATTTAGAAAAGTCTGAAGAGATCTACATCATTAGCTAGAACGCAGACTACCAACGTCTTACACAAACCATTACGACAGTTCTTCAAAAAACATAATTTACTGACAGAAAATCCCTGCAGTTTTCACAGTGAATAATTTACTTATTACTTTAAATGACGGTACAACAAAGTAACATCTTGAGCTGGGTGCCTCTGGGGAGAGACCTCAAACAAAGAAATTCTAGAATAATTATACTCCTTACAGTCTTATTTCCCCGCCTGCCAGTGACACACTCTTCCACTCTTCTTTATCGAGTTGGTGGTCTCTTTCCTTTTGATTGGTTCACCTGTACATCCCAAGATGGCTGCTATGTTCCTGCTTCGCAGTGCCTTATCTTATCCGAAGGTTAACCGTTGCCTTCTGTTCATTGGTCTGTATTTTTGAGAGCTGGTTCTAGCTGGTTTTGCAGTCACATACTCAGCAGTGAGTTTCGAGTTCATTTACAATTCAGTCCTGCAGCCTGCAGGCTTCATCTACTTTAGGCACTAGTGCTAAGCTGGGCTAGAGCTAAATTAGCTCCCTTTTCTAACAGTCATCTTCCACATCTTTTAGCATACCTGAAAAAGTTAGGAATAACTCTCATCTTATAACTGTATTGTAGATACACCTACACCACTTAGTGGAAAAAAGTTGGGGGTTAAATTAAGCTTTTTAAACACCCATTAGCTAAAGACTAAACAATAAAAAAAATTGTCACCAGAGATGGTGGGGATTTCTTGCAAGAGTAAGTATATCAGAGTATAGACTGATTGATCCAAAGCTAAAGTGTTCTAATAATTCTCTAAAAATAAGTCAATGGAAAGCCCCAATACTATCAAAAATAGTGCATATAAAGGCTAATATCTTCACATTCAGCTTTTTCATTCATAGCTTTAGAACCACTGGATTGTTTTTAACTCAGAAAAAATTTGTTTAAATCACAAGTAATTCCATGACAAGCAGAATTCAAGAAGTCCACTTTCTAATGGCTTGTATCTCAGTACTGGATTATGCCATGCCTAGTAAGGAAAAACCCAGACTTTCCAGCTGGCACATCTTAATGCCTGAAAAACAGAATAGAGACTTTAAAAAACCAAAATGAAACAAGAACCAAACAAAACAAAAACAGCTAAACCTTTTCTTCAAAGAAAAGTAATCTGGTCTTTTACCAAGTGTCCCAGTCCATAGCAGAGGAGCGCCCACACCAATTAAAGGACATTTTGGAAAAACTGATTATTTTCCTCAGGACTTACCAAATATAAAAGAATTGGGTTCGTTTAGGCAGTATAGGGTTACAATACTCGGATCAATACATTTACAAATAATATAACTTTACTAATTTCAGTTAAACAATCAATACAAACATATAGTAACTATACAATGGTAAACAGTCAAGACAAACATACAATGGTATTTAGTGGAAGCTTCCAGGAAAAACAACAACAAAGCAAATAAGGTTTCACAGTAAATAAAATTATGAACGATGTCGATGCGTCTATATAAAAAAAGAGAAGGTGTGCGGGGGGGAGAGAGGGATTGCCCTGATCAGGCCATGCTAGGCAGGCGTGCTGATCCCCAGGAACAAAGCCCGTATAAGTGATCTAGCCACACCCGGGGGGGGGTGTGCTGATCCTCAGTATAAAACCGTGTTCGGATACAACCTGTATTTGCGATCCGGCCACACCAACGGGGTATGTCGATCCCCGGGAACAAAGCCCATAGTGGTTAACTTACAACACCTCGCGCAGCTGCTCAGGGGTGGTGGACTCCGGTGGGCTTGCCCTGGTCTGGCGTCCCGTACCAGGAGGGAGTGGAGGGGGAGGCACTGAAGGAGCACTTGTCTTCCTATCTGGTGCTGTCCCACAGCCACGCTCCTTCTCGGTTCTTCTCTTCTTTCTTCGGTTACCACCACCACCACCACCACCACCACCAACTCCAGCAGCCCCCAGAAACCCTCCATAGCACCAGCAGCCGCCTTTTATAGCCAAGGTCCAATTGTGGGCGTAGTCATGCTGAACCTGGTTTCTGCCTCCATTCTGGAAAGTTCCCAGTGATGGACAGCCAGGGACCCTAGTAACATGTGACCTCTCCTCGCCAATGAGTTTAAATGGACACTGGTGGGAATCCCCATCAGGGCTGGGCAGTCTGATGGGGGTCAAATAAAGGTTAACTGCAAACCCCAACACCAAGCCATCAATTTTCATAAGACTAATAGAAAACATAACATCTGATTCCTATTGAGTCATCAAATTTAGCTGAAAGTAACTGACATGCTCAAAAGAGAAACACACTAACGGACAGACGCATACAAAGCACAAATTGTACCTGTAACTCTAAGAACTGTCACGCTGTTAGCCATTTTAAATCCATAAATCATCGACTGAAAGACTTCCTAAAAAATAAAAATTGGAGAAGTGAGTTTTAATGAAATATATAAAGTAATAATTACAGCTTTAAGGTGTTTTTTTTTTTTAACTACACCAAGCATAAAACAGAAGTTCAGTTTTATATCCTGCACCACTGAACACACCCATGGTTTGGGTGACTGTCCTGCATAAATCCAGCTTGGGGTAACTATTTTCTGCATATATCCTTAATGCCAGTATGCCCTTCAACAGCTGTATCATAATTCATATCTAGTATTGTCCTATCAAAATGTTTTAAGAACTACATTTGCAAAGTACTATTTAATCAATTTTAGATATAGTCAGTCAGAAATGACTTGTCCAAGGTCACAGGGCACAGAAAACTAGGCTCTCATTCCACTGCTAGAATAATATGTTAGACAAAAGACAAATCATGCTCACCTGAAGTAGAAAATTCAAAATTAAACAAAATACCCCATACATAAACACAATTCCAAGTTGTTAGCAACAAGATTTGCGTTATTTCTCAATTAGAATATTTAAGTGGCTCAAATATTCATGTAAAATACAGAAAAGAGTATGTAAAATCTTTATTGAAGAAAACTGCATTTTAAAGAGATATTAAGTTTAATAGCTCGTTTAGAAAGATGAACCGTTTCTCTTATATTACGCTCCAATCAAACAGTATTAAATTTCTCTAATACTCCTTTTTTATTTGTGTTAAGGAGCCTACATATATAGTGTTGCATATTTAACCATAGGATATACTGAAACATACCTCCTCAAAAACAGCTGCTTTGTTAACTTTTTCTCTGGCAATATCACAGATTTTTAGGATACCCAGAGCAAAAGCCTTCATAGCAGGATTTTCTATGAAGTCTGGATTATGAATATAAAGGCAAGTGAATACCGTCTGTGCCAAGGAATGCCCCTCTAACCATGTTATCTAGGGAAAAGAAAATTAAATGCTTTACTTTTGAGAGACAAATACTCATTTTTATATCTCCATTCTTCCTCTATCTTACCTTGCTTCAGTGAGTCTTTGAGGAAGTCCATATCATGACAACCTTCTATCTAGCAAAAAGGACCAGATAACATCTCTCGCCCTTTAACCTTTCTCCATTTGCTGACTGTGGAAGGCAGTAAGTTACTAAACCCTAAACACTGTCAAATCTCGATGTTGGGTAAACCTCCTCCACAAAATTCAGTTACTAGCTCTGATCTTTGTAGCTTAGACGTGACATTAAGCTATCAGATCATTATGTTTGTAAGCTTCCTCTACACAAATAAGGAATCAAAAATGTGAGTATGAAACAATTCAGCAGTAATCTGCATCTTCTTTTCTACATTTCATACTTTCTTTTTCACAATCCCCTCTTACTTTCCTACTGCTATAAACTACAGAGAAAGCTTCAGTAATTTAAAATATGATTTCTAGCTTGAAATATCATGAAACAGTAGAATCAGATTTCTAACACGACCAAAGTTCCTTTAAAAAAAAAAAAGTAACTGACAATTTAGATATTTCCTTTCTACTTCAAAATGCCCTTGTAAGCTCAAAGCAAGTCAAGATTTGCTGTAAAGAAATGAGAAATGGAGTGCTATAGGTTACTGTGCAGAAAAACCACACAAAACAACCCTAATATGCAGCAGGTAATCAAGATATCATACACATCAAAAAAATCAAAAATTCTATAACCTTTCTACATTATTCAAATGCTACCAATTTTCCCCCGAATGATTTCTTAGAAGAAAAAAAATTACATAATGTCAAAATTATGACATCTTATAATATCCACTAAATGCAAATTAAAATACGAAGTACATTTTTTCTGCTCAATGGATCATTTTTCTTGAGTTCTTCTTCTGCTTTTTTTTTTAAATGCATTTTTTTACTGGGTTAAGGGATTGCATTTTGGAAGCATAAACATTAAACATTAAGAGAAGTTTAATTCTTATCAAACAACATGTATCCATTATTCCTATCAACTTAGGTAAAGCCAGATCCTTTATTTTAATGGTCCCATCCTTAGAAAAGGAAGGGAAAAAAAACCAATAGGCAAAATGCAAATTATTTGTATAATAACAAAGAAGTTACAATTTGATTAAGACTTCAGATTATTTGTATTCCACTAACTTCACTGATCAGCTTCATAATCTGTCTCAAGAATTCTGAAAGTTTGCTTTTGCATCATAATGCTGAACACGTAAAGGCATTGACCAAAACACAGAGCTATTCAAAGGGAAAGCTGGAATAAAATTTCTGATTTATGAGTAGCCTATAAAAGTTTAAAATCAGTTAAATTGACAACACTTAAAGTCACAAAAAAACATGTACAGTCACACACAAAAAAAAAACCCCAACCTCAAACAAGGAATAATATGTAGCACCCATTCTTTGAAGGCAACTTTTTATATTGCAACTGCTTGTACAGAGTTCTCCTGCCTTCAAGGTCAGGACCAAAAAGGCAGCTACCCTACTTCTTTCATTTTATTTGTTCAACATATGCAAGTCTGCATCAAGAATTAAAAGGCTATTATTTTAAAAAGGCTTCTCTTCTAATCCACTCAAATTACCACTGTAAAAAAGATTTTTCTCTCTGAGTGCATTATTTTTTCCAAAGTAACAGATGTAGAGTCTTTCAACTTCCCTTCACCAATTCATTTTGACCATGCATCAGAAGTTAATCATTACTGTCAATAGCTACCCTGTAATCTTTTGTTAAATTAGTTGGCTTCTGTTCAATGCTAATGAACTGACAGTCACATTAAAAAGAGTTACTTTACAGCTTTTGTACAGAAGTTGGTTTCCCTTCAGCTGAAAGAAGGGTTAACCAATACATCTTCATATCAAAGACATATTTTAGGGAAGCCTGGGATGACTTATAACACCATTTCTGAAATGTATTTATGGTATTAATACCTAACAAATTTACAGTACTTTTAATTGGGAGAATTAGTGATGAAGTAGGGTACAAAGAAGGAAAAGACCTCAAGCATTTCTTAGCTATCCAAAATAAAAAGGGAAAAAACAATTTTATGTAAAGATTGAAAACATTCATTATGCTGAATTGTGCTCAACTATAATTTGATTAAATTATATATTTTTACAGACAGTGAAAAGGCAAAAACAGGGAAGGAAAAAAAAAAAAAGCCACACATGAACCTTGATAGCTTGCTCAAAGTTAATAACCTTTCTATTAACTTGGTTTCCAATCATACCAGCATCCATCTTGGGACCCATCATTTCAATTGTAGAGATGTCTTCAAAAAGGCCAAAACTAAGGACACCAATACAAAAAAAGTTTCAAATTAAGAATTCTTTTATACAAAACTATCTTCATATACTGATGTAAAAGAGCATATGAGGGCAAACTGAGTACGCTGTATTCTGACTATAAACAATAAGCTAAGATTTTTGAACATTACTATTGATCTTGAGAGGGCATAGGTTTCAAGAGTTTGAGGTTCTCTCAAAAAGTATCTGAAAAATGAGATGCCTAAAATTAAGAGAAAATTCTTAGTCTTTTTTTAGCTGAAGAACGTTCCTCAGTCAAATATCCCATTACTAAATCTGCATGTGTTTGTGTTTATATACCTCGTAAAACATAACATCTTTTTAGAAACCTGAGATTATGTAACATGATAAACTGATATTAACTGAACAATCTGTTCTTTATTATACTACACCCAAAGAAACAAGAAAGATATGTTCCCCACAAATTAATGACAATATACACATTACACAACTAATAATAATACATATCAAACACACCAACTTTGCTTAAAATGGGCAGTTTAAGAAAATTGACACAGCAAAAACCCAGCACATGACAATATATTCTATTGTAGCCATGAAGTATATAAAATTTTGCAGGAGAGCCATCCAATGAAGGCAGACCTGCAAAAGAAGGGAAACTGCCTCTCTTGGCATATGTGATACTCAGCAGATCTGTTGCACAAGCCTTTACTACATAAAAAGGTTATTGCAAAATGCACATTCTAATTCTTTAAATTATATTTATTGGGAAAGGCACTTATGTATGAAATTGTATCTTGAAAACATACTTTGATTCTACTGAGTAAACTACTTGGTGACATCCTCACACAAATGTTTTAAGCAAGCTTGCATTTAATAATGTGGTTCTGTTTTCTGAGCTATTAGTCTTAAATCAGCAATTTTTTTCTTTTGCAGGTCAACACATCCACATAGCTAAACAAGTTCCTTTTTCTTTAAAATATGAAATGAGATTAGAATTTTTAATAAATTCTGCAAGATTTTAGCACATGCTTTTTAAGTAGACTTTTTCTTAATCTGTAGAACATTCACAGCTTCTATTTTGGCATGGCATTTTAGAGTTAGGTTAAACTGTGGACTGTTTATTCTAAACTTGCAAGTGAGATTTATGGTAATTGAATGAAAAGCTTGGAGTGTTTCTTGTCTTTTTGTGTAAAAGTATGCCTATGTAAAATAGTTCA